ATGTGTTTTAGTTCGAATCCTGCCGCGCTTGCGATTAGTGAGTAGGGGCCTAGGTAAGTGAGGTCTGCAGCGTTTTCAAATATTGGAGATTGCCTATTTCAGACAAGCCGTCCACTTTTCAAAAAGTTTGTTTGAGGATCTTTTGCATGCGAAAACATTCCCCATCTCATTTCAGTTTTTTTTTCTCATTCCCCAATTCCATTTCCAACGTATTCACCAGCCGGTGAGATCGTTCGGGAAAGAATGAAACTGCTAGACTGATGATCTCCATTCAACACTTTCAACACCGGCAACACTTTCAACACTTTCAACACCGGCAACACTTTCAACACTTTCAACACTTTCAACACCGGCAACACTTTCAACACTGGCAACACTGGAAACATCGGCAACACGGGCGAAGTATGGCCAAAGCCTACGTTTTTGTCCTCGTGGTCTCTTTTGATGCGTTCATCTTGGTGTCATTGTGGTTATTTGTGCGTTTTAAGTGACTCGGTATCTTATAATTTCGTGCAAAAAACTTGGTTTTCGACAAAAGTCTGTGAGCAAGAATATGTTTAAGCACGTCAGTCGTGCATGAGCTTGTTTTATGATGGAGGTGTTTGATGAGTAGATGTGCATGTAAGCGTCGTTACGCATTTATTTCCTGTTTCCTTCTAGAGCGATATTCAGCTAGACAGCGCTTAGGCGGATCTGGGCATATGGAGATCTAAACTGAAAAGTTTAGATCTCCATAGACAACGTTTCCGGTTTCGGCCGAATGCCTAGCTAAGAGCCGACCAGGCCAATCCACCGCCGTTTGGTTTCCTGGTCGCTAGGAGGTTCTCCCCCGCTCCAAGCATGGGGTCAGCGACCACCCCGTGGAAATTAAGAGTAGGCCTAGTAAGTCTGCTCTTGTAGGGGAACAGATTTTATTATTCAGTCAGCAAGAAGATATAGAAAAAACCCTGTACATCGTATCCCGCTTACGGCGCCGGGTGGTAGCAAGAACGATGTCGGGCGCCTTTGGGATCGGACAAAAACGACAGTTTGCCTGGAAGACACACCATGGAGACTGCCTCATGCTCCGCACCTACAACGCCAGGACAGTCTCCACAAACGCCGACCTCCACGCTCTTTTCGACGCTGCAGAGCACATCAAGTATCGCCCATTCGTTGACTGTACGGACTGGACATAACCGCGGAGCACGCGCCGCGAGGTAAAACGTATGCTCCGATACAAACTCGCCATTGTTAAAATCGTGCTCTCGCAACATTCTAACCGCGCCGCGCATGGTCCATAGCGTTTGAGCAGTCCGTACGGCCAACGAATCGACGATACCACGTTATCGCTCTGCAGGAAACAAAGTCCAGGAAGAAGAACGTGCGACAGATGAGTGATGGGGCGCTCATCATGTGAGAAGGTTCCATCACGAAACGGTGGAGACGTTGGCTTTGTCGTAAACCCATCCATTGTCCATCTTGTCGATTCGCATGAGATCCTATCATCTCGACTAGCCATCCTACGACGTGATCTCCATGTTAGAAGACCATCAGCATCATAAAATGCTATTCTTCAACATCAGCAACTGACGAATCAGAATTAGATGCTTTCTAAGAAGATGCGAAGGAGGTCGTCCGCAACGAGAAGTCCTTCTACAAGTTTGTTGTGGGCGACTCAATGCGAAAATCGGGATGTCACTAGAAAGGGACTATAGGATCGGGAAGTTTGGATATGGTCTGGAACGAAAACGGCAACCGTCTTGTTGGGTTCTTTCCGCCGCACGACTTTTCCAAGGAAATTCCATATTCATGAAGGAAGAACATCGCCGATGGACATGGAAATCGCCCAACGGAACGACTCATGCGGAGATCGACCACATTCTCACCAACCGAAGGTGGAGCTTGCTCGATGTCTCACAAGGGAACGATACTCAATGTCCGTGGCTTTTTGAGACGAGATGTATACCATTACACTCGCCTTCGAACGCTGATTCCGAATCTGGCTTCCGTTTCTGCTAATCGTTTCTCTGAAGGAAGTTATGGAGGAATTTCGAGCTAACTTTATCCGCCTAAGGGTATGATCACCAGAACGGCCTTTACCGGCGCCATGTTATTGTCTAGTGATTAGTGCGATAGCCTCATAACTTGATACAGGTGTAGGTTCAAATCCTTTTGTGTTTTTTATTTTGACTACCTCAATTAAAGTTGTTCGAGATTCACTCGAATTATGGTCGTTGGATACATTTTAACGCATATAGTAAATTTCCAAATTTCCACATTTTTTGAAGAGTAAGGGCGTTCAGTTAGCTTGAAGATGCGAAAGAAGGTTTATTGAGGCAACGCAAAACTGAAGAACACAAAGGGATTCGAACCTACACCTGCATCAGCTCATGAGCCTATCGCGCTAACCACTAGACCACACCGCACCGTCACTGTTGCCGCGTTGAACATATTTCAGTAGATAGACAAAGCCCGCACAATCCTTTACAACATCTTTCAAGCGATTAGCAGAAACGGATTCCAGATTCGGAATCAGCGTTCCAAGACGAGTTTAATGGTGTACAACTCATCTCAAAAAGCCACGGACACCGAGTATCGTTTCCTTGTCAGCAGTTCCATCCTTCTGCAGTGGCTCCGATCACCGTTTCTTTTAAGCGAAGGTACGATTCAGTCAAAAACTGAAAAAGAAAGTCTGCCACAATGCCGCTAGAAGGAAGGAATTTGTTTGTGACGGTAGCAGGCTGGAAGAGCTCATATCAAGTTGTGACTGGCCCATCGAGGAGGACCCAACGTATGACTACGATTGGCTTCTAAAAGTTTTGCTAGCTTGTGGAGAGTGCGCCTCAGTGACTTCCGAGAAGAACTTGGAACGCATTTCGAATACCAACAAGCAGTTGCTCGAAAGAAAAAGATTTCTGAGGCAGGATCCGAATGCAACCCATCTCGAGCGGCTGATAGACAACGCCAACTGCAGAACAGCTTTGCAGGAGGGTCTCAGGAAGTACAGGCAAGCCAAGATACTGGAAGCAGTCAAAGAAATGACGAAGTCTTAAGAATTGCCGAAGGAACCTCTGCGAATATTATGTGCAGCTAGCTGCACTATTGAACAAAGACGGGACTCCGAATTCTTCCCGATACAAGGTGGAATCGTTCTCTTCTCGGGCAGTATCACCGAAGCAGAGACGATGCTGAAGGAATTCAACGAAGTGGGAAAGAAGATCAGTTGCGCATCAATCGGAAGGAGACTCAGTTCATGGGGAACGTCCTTTGCGAAGATGCGGAAATGGAACTGGAAGGCACTCCTATTATGGAGGCCTCCTCTCACGTGTATCTCAGACGTTCGATGAACATGGAGAACGACTTGAGGGAAGAACTTAGCGGGAGAAGAATAGCAGCCTGGGCCGCTTTCGGGTCTCTGAAGGAAGCCACCGACCAACTGATGAACCCAGAGCTTCGTGATCACCTGTTCGACTCAACCGTTCTCCCGGCGCTCTGCTACGCAGTTGAGACTTGGGCTGACACCGTAGCCACTTCGAAAGCTTTAAGGACCACCCACAGAGCGCTAGAGCGTAGTCTTCTGAAGATGACCCAACACAAACAATATCTCGTCGGATTTTGCAGTACGGATATGAGGAGATACGTTGCGAAAGCGAAGCATCACTGGGCCGGTCACATTATGAGAAGAGCAGACGACAGATGGACACTAAGAACATCGGAGTGGATTCCTGGCGAAGCAAAACGTCCCTGAGGAAGACCTTCAACAAGATGGGCAGACGTGTTCGTGGAACGGATGGACCAGCTGAGAAATCAGCTGGATACGATTATCGCACCTGGAACTCGTGGACGCAGCCACCGACGTCAGCCAAGAAGATCATGGATGACTGAAGCGAGGGACAGGGATCGATGGAAACTTCTGTGCTGAGGCCCGCACGTCACATGAAGCCGGGCCATCTAACAAAGAACGCGTGTTCTATCGAAGTGGCGTTTCTAAACGAGACCCACACTACTTTGAGGAGCATTGCATGGTGGCTTCAAATCTGCCTTCACTATCCGCCAAGCGCCTCTGGACGCCGAGTTATGACCGTTGTTTGAAACGAAAAATGTTGAGTATTAGCATATTAGACAAAATGTGTCCATTGCATGAACTGCTCTGATACTCAACACAGGACCATTTGTTTTTGGGCGATTGGGCGATTTCGCTCCAGTTTTGCGTCCAATTTTTTGACCCAAAAACGCCCATAACTCGGCGTCCAGAAGCCCTTGGCAGATAATGAAGGCAGATTTGAAATCAATGTGCAATACTCTTTAATGCAGTATGGGTCCCATCTGCAAAGGTCACTTCGACTATACACGCTTTCCTTGTAAGTATCTAAGTAAGTAATCCAACTGTAAAGTAATTTTGGGTCCCTAACCAAGACACTGTCCAAACGCCAGCTATTATTTCACTTACGACTGAGATATTCACCTCTAAGCTGGACCCCAGAATTGTATCAACGGAAAACTTGTCTGGTATCCGCATGGTTGTCCGCGCGCAGACCCATCACTTTTGCGTGGGTCCGCGCGCGAAAGTGCAAGCACGAGCAGTTTGTCTGTTAGTAAGATCCTGGGTCCACTTTGGAGGTGAATATGCAGCTGTGAGTGAATCACTCGCGCTGCTGCTTGGGCAGTGCTTAAGTGAGAGCCCCAAAATTTTTCAGGAGAGACCCGCACAAGTCCAGATTTGCCTGGACGCTGCCTTCAACATTTGCCACACTTCTGCCGGGCCCTGGTCGCGAGCATTCATCGCTTATTAATCAATGAAAGCGAAAGAGAGCACATAATATGATGATTTTCAACGCCCCCTCATTTTCATCAAGGTGGAGGAAAATGTTTGGCATGTCACGGAAGTGACTATCAAAACAACTTCCAAATGTAGGATATAAATTGGGAAAGCAGCCATGTCATCGTTATCTTATGCTTCGCTTCAAAATTCTTCGTCATGCTTGAGAGTCTTGGTGTTTGCCAAATGATGTCATTCAGGATTGAATTAGCCACTTTCTTCAAGCAGCATGAAATCTTTATCGCTTTTTATTTGTGTACTGAAAACGGTACGGTTAGTAACAGCACAAAGTAAGCAGCGTTCCCATTCTTCATTCTTCGAAACTGTAAGATTTTTTTTTAGCATGCACATGTCCAAAAGAACTCAATGTTGACGTACGGGTATCCGATCACGGTGGAATGGATGGATTTTATTCGATTGCGCAAGGAATCAGCTACGCTATTCAGCCAAAACTGTCGGATGCCACTGTCAATGTAAAACATACATGCATTTGTAGCAGAACAGACCAGAGAAACGCCGAAGCTTTAGGATCTTTGTGATGCTATCCGAAAAGATAAGAAAGCTGATGATATTCTCAAGCTGGTCATAGAACGCCTCAAGAATGAACACGTAAATAAATGTCAAACCTGATAAGAGTAGCTGTAACTCTCAGCTTGAATAATTTGCAGATTCCGTCTATGGCCTTCTGCGGATTTGGAATTTTAATTTGTGTTTGCTCATTCTTGTTTGGCCTATCAGTTTTCTGCGCTCGATGTTGCAATCCTTCTCGAAAGCGTTATGAGGGTTCAAAAACACCAGAAACGAGTCCGGTGTTGGATACTGAGCGTACCAATCGTAGCAATCGACAGGACCAGGTAAGTCTTCACTGATATGCCTACGAGGATTATTGAAAACAGTTAAAGCTATCACTTTTACGCGTATGTCTGAGCTGGCTTCTCAAGATTTATAAAAGAAAACTAGAAGATCCTTCATTAATATACACCTCATCTAGTTCTATTTTGTTCACTACCGGGCTCAGATGAATATCATAGATAAAGGGGCTTTAAACTACAAAATTCACATTTTGGGAAAAAGAGCTTCTGCTTATGCAAAGGTATCAACTATGAAAAGTAAGTCTAAAACAGTGTGAGATGCTGCGATGTAAAACTTTCTATCGAACGGTATCGGTTTGTGGCTAATTTGCGCATCTATATTAGAACCAGTGCGCCACCTCTGCTTCGCAGAGGCTCGCACTGGCCCTACCTTATCTATGCCTTACTCATTTCCGCATATAATTGCATTGAAACTCACCGCGCTGTGTAAGCTATTACGAATAATTCGTAAACAACTACTCATTCCTAGAGGTTTTTCGTGTGAGATCGGTATTTTCGCGTGGATGAAATCTCTTTGAGAGGAACAGATGCAAATTTGAATAGGTTTTTGGAATTTTTATGGCTTCGTAGTCGCCATAAGGACAATAAACATCGTGGGCTACATCTTTTTGCAAAAACCTTTTCAAATGATCAGGTAAAATCTTCGAAAAGTGACCGTTTACTCAGCCAATGCTTTTTGGCGCTGTTTTCGCAAAGTAGTAGACTTTTCATCACTTTTTTATGCTAACGTCCATGGCTTGCACATTAACTTGTCAAATATATAAATAACTCTGAAAAAAGTAGCACTACGGACCCAAATTTGCTGGCCAGAAGCCATGTGGATCCGTTTAACGCGCAGTTTTCAACGGATCCACTGAACGGATCCATTCATGCTTTTGTACAGTGAGCTTTCATGCTGGTAGCGTGCGCTATGCAAAATTTGGGCTCAGGATGTTGGCTGGAACACGCTCTACGAATTTCGTAACGGACAGACACACACACACAGACAAAAAGACGTAAACATCCTTAGCCGCTTATTATAAGTCATGATTGCTTCAACCGTACTTGTTAAGTTGTCCCATAGTTTCCAATGAATTTTTGCTGCAGTAGGTCAACTTGTTATTTTTAATTAGGATCAGTACCCATACGACAGAGCAAAGCAAACGTTACAAGAGGGCTTTTATTTGCGAGCTTTTGATCCACCTCAAGATTAAAACGGGGCCAGCACGAGGTGGGCAAATGTCAAGCTGGAAATCGTTTTGGACGAAAAGCAAAGGGGTTATCGAAAATTTACGTTCACATGTACTTACAGTTTCTCGACAAGTTGCTACACAACTGATATGCAAACACACATCTTGCTAGCGCGTCATCTTTAAAAAATCAAGTTTTCTTCCATTGAGTTGAAATTAGATGTCTCGGTTATAAAACATAACAAATGATTGAGAAGTTGAAGTGTGAACGCAGTAGACTAGAGGAGCATATAGTACAGTGGAAGAATTGTGTGACTGAAGGTTGTGACAAGGTCTTTTTTGAAATTTTTCACTACAAAATTATGAAATGGCTCGTTTGCAGCGCACATATGACGATATGGCACGCTGCTTGGTGTGTGTACGCACAGTAGGGCTAAGGAACAAGTATGGAAAATTACGAAAGACTTATGTAAAAAGAACGTGCTCAACTTTTTTTCAAATTAGGTGGGCACTTGCCCTCTCAATGCCCGCCTGAGGTAGGCAAAACTTCCATTCACATAAGTTCTTTCAAAACCTTTTCATGAATCTGTTCTACACCTGAAGTTTAGTATACTGTAACATTTTGGTTCCAAAAGTTCTCCTCTCCTCCCTGTTAGGATTCGGAGTAGCAACGACGTCGGGAATCTTGAGGAAGAAAGTGCGCTCCAATCGAACAACCCATGTAGTTGGCGGAATCGGAATTGGAAAATCGTGAAAATCGATAATGGTAAAGGCGAAGTCGTTTTACGGATGCCCATTTGCCACTCTTGTGTTGGACCTTGGATCAAAACCAAAATCTAAAAGGTTTTGGATGCCCAGAAACTTGCAAATCAGCCATTCATAAATACCGTTGATGTAATTTTTCCGTTAGAAACAAAGATTTTCATGTTTATATGAAATGCTGCAGTGTTCCCGGATGAGATTCTGTATGCTATATACTTTTAAAAGGAACCGCGATTAGCTTGCTATGCTCTAGTTCCCGAGATTGATTTTACAGCGTAGCACCCAAGCAAGGAATGCACTCGATTTTTCTCGGAAACTGAGGCTTGAAGAGTGCTAGAAATTGACGATACTTTCGTAATCCGGATATATTTTCCAAAAAAGGATACTGCTTCTTTCCTTGTACCAAATTTGGTAAAAACTTCACAGGATAGAGAGTCAGTCTCCGGCCATGTAGCAGAAGAAATTGACATGTCATTTACATGTCTAGCAATTTCCACTAAGAGTTTGTTTAGCTTACCTATCAATGTAAGTCCAATGTGTTTTTCATTCAATGATTATGTCGTTTTTGGCAACAATTTCGTGATGAGCTTTAACAATATGGAAATGACATTGTGTTTGACAAACACATTAGGTTCTCCCAAAACAGAGAAGTGGGCTATTGTTCCATTATCCTTTAAATGACAAAACTATCGGCAGCCAGGTACTTCAAGCCATCATTTATACTCTTTCCCGCTAAATTCGCAAGGAGAAAATAATATGCAGAGCACGATTTCTTTAGATCGTTTGAAAGCTACCAACATATTTTAATAAGATTTGAAATTGTTTTTTCATAAAAGACCCCTGAACAGCTTTCGAGTCATTTCAAATGCTCTCGTACTTCACCGGAAAAAAATTGAAAGCATGTCAGACTGGTCCCAAACATGTTAGTTTATATCTTGACACATGGCAAGGAGACAGTCTTCGTAAGATCCATAAAAAATTTCTAGACAGAAGCACTCATTCCATGAGAACATTTTGAAATGGGCCCCGATGACAGAAAATAACAAATTTCCAGTTGCTTTCCTGAAGGTTTATAGTATACAAAGAACTATGTGGGAAACAGTACATATTTCGATCAAATTATCACAACAATCTACTAATAGGTTTGACTAAGGTATAGCAATAGCGCTATGTCAATTAACCTAATTTCACGCATATAGGGCGCGGAGGATTTTTTTTAAATACAGCACAGACATGCGGAAGGACTACGCGACCAAAAACTATTTACAGTGCTGTGCTGCATATTGCCTGAAAGTATCGTGCGGCATAAGTGTCGTTTTCCGAAACACAATGAGGCGACTGAGCGGCACGCTTGAAAACCGAAATAGATGCGTCTTATAGGCGAGAAATTAGGGTAAAATGACAAATTCATATAAATACATATACTTTTTAGAAGTTTCACCAGACGTTGTATTGCAGCAACAACACCTCCATTTCAACATAAGTTCTCATGCCAACTTGTAATGATTCTTCGCCCTTCTTCCGTATATAGCTGCTATCGACAGAGAAAGAAAACTAATTTCAAAACTAATCTAAAGCATGTCAAGCGACTTCAAGCTAACTATCGCGTTTCCCATTTATAAAGATTGATACATAATTATACGAACACTCCATATTTTGCGGTTTCTCGGATTTTTGAAAGGAATGCAAAAAATCATTGGCACCATGTGAAAAGCATGGCGCGCAGAGCGTGGCGGAAACGAAGTGCTCTACGAGTGCCAACCCTTTGCTGAGTTTGGGACTGGGTTGGCAAGTAGGACGATTACATCAATATTTTTTGACCGTTGGACAGCACATTTACTGATCCCTCATCCCTTAATCGTATGAGCTGGATAAAGGTTTTAAATCTTAATAAACCAAACATTTTTGGAGCCGACTTGGTGAGCAGTCGTTTCGAACTATGAAAGTAGAGTGAAGCTCCTTTTCAAACCTTTTAGGTCTAGCGCGCAGTGGTGTCTCAGACTCTATGATCATAGCCTTAGCTAGTCACGATTAGTCGTGTTGGAAAACTATCACAACCGAATTACAAGAAGATCGGCATGCAATGAACTCGTAACACTCGTCTTTAGCGACTGAATCGCGACGACCAAATCGCATGAACTCTGTCCGAGGCCTTACATGAAAGTTCGAATCAAGGTTTGCAGTGTTAAGCGAAAAAGAGTTCTGATTGAGGTGTTCGTATAAACATGAACCGGTCAAAAATGTGTTTGGCGCACAATGCTTGTTCAAGATGATATCGATTTTCGTTTTTGTAGCGCGTATTCTGTTTTCGGCTATGCTCTTTCACATGATGACAAAAAGTCGGAGAAACGGCAAAATATGGGATGTTTATACATATATGAGCCGATTTTCAGTTTGCTTCCAAGCGGTGGCTGGGTGAAATACTCTTATAGACTTTGTATCACTGCTACTCCTTTGGATTACAGATTTCTACTTGCGCAATCACCTGGCAGTTGATACTACTTACAATTCTCATCGTCTCCGCTATTTTTGTAACGCTCAGCATAGTGCTAAATAACAAAAGCTCATCGGAGTTTTTTGCATCTACCGAAAGTTCACCAAGATCCATCAAACTGATGAAAAAAGGTAGGTGCTTTTGATTTACAATTTTTTTCGAGAAGTGCCGATGTAATTTGAAGCAATTTTTCCTCTGCAAATCTGTAAGCGGTTGATTTTTGCAAGTATAAAGTAGTCCTACGGATAAATTCTATTAACAGATACATGGCGAAAAGAAGTGAGCGAGGGGGGGGGGAGGGTGTAAAGCGAATTTTGTAATTCAGCAGTGGAAAGAAAGGTTGATTTTTTGAGCTATGCCGCTGTATTCTGTGAACGTCATCAAACACCAAATCTCTTTCATTCATTTTGTTGGGCATTTCCGGCCTGCTATTGAGATGACTAAGAAAAGTAGATGACTCATGGATGATATTAATTTCAAATGAACATTCTCTCTCATAAAAGGCAATTTATTCCTACAAATGAGGGGACGCAGATGTAACGTGGAAGGACTTTTTATGGGCATATGGGGATGGGCCCATTAACACGTATGGGTGGGAGAGGAAGTAATGACCGTAAAGGGGTGGTTTGAACGGAGTTGATGATTTCGACTTTGAGTATTGATGCCTCAGCTGTCTTAAATATCAAATGAGAAGTTTTTACTTTTTAAAATCCTATGCATGTTCACTATTAGATCTCATGAATGCACTGCAAATACTTTCGAATGAATGTTTCAATCTTCTATGCAAAAATTGCTTCTTACACAATACTGTTTCAGATGTAATCGGTTTGTACGATAATGCGTCAGAAACGTTGATTTGTGCTTTTGATAAAGCCATAGATAAAACATTAGACGAGGTAAGGCTCAAAAAGATATGTAGATTACTCACTTCTTATCTTGATGAGTTCACAAGGTGAAAAGAAGTGTTCAAACTGCGCCGAAATTACTCCTGGATGAACTAAAGAACCTAACTGGTATTACGACCCTCGATCAGGTAAGGTCGCTTTGTGCCTAGTGCCTTAGAGGAAGGTTTTTTTTTTCAGATAAATATGACTCAAATCAGTGAAGAGGCCAGAAAATGTCATAGCCATTGCGATACCGTGAAGGGAGCAATCGAAACATTGCGTGGGCACGCGAGTCCAAATTGTAAACGAGAATTGGAAGCAACTGAGGGCATCATTGGTGCGTTAGAAGAACCGCTGAAGCAAATCGAGGTGAGCATGGAAAAGCGCAAGCAAATCTTATTTCATTTAAGTGAAATACGGTATGTTAAAGGACCGTTCGCCCAGATTCTTGACATTAATAGGCGAACACGGGTGGGTGGGCATTGCTGAAGAGGGCGGTGCCGACTTGGTCTCCTCGTGGCTCTTCGTTGCTCCGAAGCGATATCCTCGCTTTCGAAGCGACATTGCGTCGTGACTTGAGCATTGACTTGATAGGGTGTCCTACTATCGTAAGCTGCCCAAAAGCTTAAGCCTCCTAACTTAGATTGGACGTGTTTTTAAGCCCAAAGTTGGAAAAAAACCCATTCAAAAATTGTTGGCTGGCAGCAATGGAATCGATTTTACTCACAGTTATTTGCTAGCTTGCCATTTCTGCCATCTAGGCCTTTGCTCTAAATTTGTGTGCGAATAATTCCCAGAATTTTTTGGGCGCAGCTTATAACTGAATTCAGAGCTACTTCAAAGTAATCTCAATTTTGCTCCTGTCTTCTTGATTCCCAAACTTTACCTTTTTTTACCCATTCGAGTCAATAGTATGAGTCGCAACATGTGATCTTTGATTACTGCACACATTCAGAACTTAACAACCGTCAAAGAGGGTGTTGACAGAACAATCAATGATTCTCTTGGAAAAGTGAACGAAACCGTAAGCTGCAATGCAACCTCGATTTGCAACTTTCTCATATCCATTCCAGCTGCAAAGCACAGTCACTTCGTCAATCGAGCAAGTTCGTAACGGGTGGGACAAGGTACGAAAAGCAGTAAACGAAACACAGTCACTATCAGGTGCCGTGAGTACTGCTGCAGAACAAGCCAACAATTTTCTTGATAAGCTATTCTCGGTAAGATCTTCAGGCTTTTCCGAAAGCTAGGTAACCGTTACAATCAAAATTCTTTACGTTTTATATAAAGCTTACGGTTAGTATTTCTTCTATGTAAAATAGAAACTTCTTTTAAACCATACCTACAATACCACCCGTAATTCGTGAAAAACAAAAACCGCAGCGGCCGTCTAAATTAGGGTTGATTCGCTGTCAGTAACACTTTGTATGGATACCAAAAATGTCACTTGCACCCAACTGTTCAAATTCTCTCTCAGGTAGCTATCTTCGTTGACTGCAATAATTATGCGCGATTTTTTGTAACTGTACATGTGAGCACACACACACTTCGCGCGGCAAGCGACTAAATACTAGTCATTCGCCAAAAAACTTTTTTCAATGGAACAAACTGTGGAAACGTGTACTACCCGAAACATGTTTGATCAAGCAAAAGAGAACAGATTGGAAGACCTAGGACTTCAATAGCTTCCCATCTCAGAAGTCGTAAAGTAGCGCGCGTGGTGTGCAGTACGCATGCTGAGTCCACGATACATTTATTTGCTGCATGAAGAGGTCATTTGATTTTCATACATAACACTTACGAAATTTAGCAGTATACAATTGTTTAAAAGTTTTTTCTAAACAGAGCGAAACATCAACATCAGACTAACCTGACACCTAGACAGTGGCAGGGTTTCAAAGAGATACGTGAACTCGTATCTAACGGTTCGGTGCGATTGTCTGTAAGCGATAAAGGCGGCGAATTCGTAGTAATGCCTCAAGAGTTGGATCGATGAATAACAGCAGCTCATCTGGCGGACACCACCACCTATAGAGTTGTCTCCGCGAAAGAATTTCAATCTCAGTATAGGAAGTTGAATGACGCTTGGACAACGATAGCTAGATCTGCAGGACTCGACGACAGGTTTATAAGCAGGTTAAAACTCAGGTCTCCAAGTTGTCCAGTGTTTTATAGCCTTGTTAAGCCGCACAAGCTTTCCTTGCGGGACATGAGTTCAATTTCAGCGGACACTTACAAAATTAGACCAATTATTAGTTGCGTAGGCTGTCCCACCGATCGAATTTCGTGGTTCTTGAACAAAATTGTGAGCCAATTGCTACACAAAGTGCCAGCACATTTATCCAACTCAGGTGATTTTATAGAAAAGCTTCGAAGCGCCAAGTTTGATTCGAGCACTGTAGTAGAGTCATTCGATGTGACTTCGCTCTACACTAATGTGCAGGATAACCAGACCTTGCAAGCGCTCTCAGAGATGTTGGATAAATATGCCACTACCATCAATACTTTTGGGCTTGGGAAAAGGCGAACAATGACCCTAATGAGCGAATGCTTGTAATGTAACATCTTCAGATGGTCTGGGACGTACTACTCCCAAATACGCGGATTGGCTATGGGTCAGAGGCTAGCCCCTGTCCTCGCCATTTGCTTCATGAGTAAAATCGAGGATCCGGTGCTAGCCAGCATGCCTCTAATGTACTGCCGTTATATCGATGACTGCTGTATATTTACGTCCACACAGTCCGAAATGGACAAGTGTTTCGAAATTCTCAACCAGCAGTCGCAGTACATAAAGCTCACACGAGAGATACCGCACGGCGGATGGCTCCCCTACCTCAACGCACAGGTCAAATTGTCCAATGGCATTGTTAGCAAAGTGGTACTGCAAGGAAAGCTCAAAGAACATCCTTATCAATGTAAGATCTGCGCGTCCTGCATCTATGAAACGAGCAGTGATCGGGAATATGTTCAAGACAGCTATGCAGATGTGCTCCGGAGAAAGAGAACGATGCGAGTCGCGAAGTTTAGCCTCTCAGATTGCTTGCAGCAATGGTTACCACTGTCTGCCGCGTATCCAACATCACGCAAATGGTGACCACATTCATGATAATAAGCTCCCAGTGTGCTTGCCATTTATTTCCGATAACATCAGTGCGGCTTTTCGAAAGTGCATCATACGCGCACAAATGCAAGACGATATTGTCTTGGTGAACATCCCAAACGACAATATCAAGAAGCAGTTGGTTCGAAACACTTTACGATCGATACTGTATAACAGAAAAATGCGTAGTCTGTCCGTACGGTAGAATAGGTGACTTGCACAAGCGGGAGTGGTTTATCAATTGAGATGCCTTGGCTGCAATGCTCTTTATATTGGCGAGACTGGAAGATCACTTAGTACTCGCAACGAACATCTGGCAGATAAAAGGCGTAAAACCCTGTTATCACCGTTGGGCAGGCATAGGAACGATGTGCGTGGTGGAGCCGATTTCGATATAGAGTGCGAAATCTTAACATATGAGAAGGAAACCTCGGCTGGGAAGGCGCTGGAAGCATTCTGAATCTCTTCAAAGACCAGCAATGAACAATAAGAATGAATGCTTGTCAGTCACCAACGACTTCCTTCCATTCATATCGTTATGCAATCTATAGATCACATGCTATGTGCATTTATAGTATAGTTTAGTCCTTTCGCCAAGACCATCATTTCGGTGCGGAAACTGACATAGCGGTGTTCTAAACGGTATGTTCATTTTCTGGCGCTGACAATTTTTGCGGTAGGGATGTTGAGCGAAGATCGAGAACTAGCAGGAATGAGGATGGTGCTTGATGGCCTCTTTTCACAGATGACGCTTTGAGCCGTTTTCAGGCCTCTGAGGAAGACGAAAGGCGTCGAAACGTTAGGGGCCTTGATTGGAATAAAGAACACCTACCAAACCTGTCTGGCACAGCAGTACTGAAGAATATGGGCACAATTTTTGAGTGGACGTATTTTTGCGATGAGGGCGCATACTTTCATAAAGAGTTTTAATATATATCTTTTGATGGAGCTGCGCCCATATATCATCCTCGACAAAAAATCATCCGCAGGTTTATCAAAAAAGAGAATGACTGGTGGATTTTGGTTGCTAGGCCATCAACTCATTTACCACTTAACAGAAATTTAGATCGTCCGGAATTTTAGGAAACTAGGCTTTCACAAACATCAGCTTCCATTGTCGTCGTGAATCAATGTGACAAAAAGAATTTTTACCTAAACAACAATAGAAATGCAAAAACTCTTTACCCCTGAACGCCTTTTCATTGAAGGGATTAAATTCGGAAAAGTTACAAATTTTGCGAAATCTTGGTGCAAGATTCCAACATAACCAATTCCCTTGCAAAAGAATGCTCATGTATCAACGGTGGTGGAACCATTCATGCGAAATGTCCAAGCTTGATCTTACCTTTCGCTCTGTAACCAAATATTACAGTTCACGATCAACAAGAATATCAAAGCAGGATTTTCATGGCTTGTCACGGCGCCTGGACTTATCACCTTGTTTTTCGCTTCTTTCACAGCGGTGCCGCTCCTTATATATTCATATTTTCCAGGTACGGAAAACTGCGATGTGCAAAAACTACTTTTCAGTAAATTTATAGATAACCCAAACCTAATACACTGCCTATTTCGATTTTCTATGATTGGTTTCTATGTGATGACTATATTGGCAGGTCTCGTTATCGCTTTTAGTAGGTAAAGGAGGGGATTTTTTCTACTTGATTTATAAAAGAAATACAAATTCAGTGTTGAGTACTTGGGTGTATCCGTCACATCGTCGACTTGCAAGACAGTGTTACATGATCCTACCTATTCCGGACTATCATGTTTCAACGAGGAGGTGGTTCTTTTAGAAGGCTATAAGCTGAACATTTCTTTGAGGTGCTCTACGTGTTTGTGTGCTTTGAAAAATAGAGTTTTTGCAAACTCGTAATTCTAGGGGTACATTGTTGAGTTGCAAAGCAAATAACACCCTATGGAAAGCGCTCAAAGCCGATTCTGCGTTTAACACAAATAGCTTGTCCGAAATGGCAAAGCTTTCAAAGATCAAAAATACAGTTCGTGAAAAGGTTGGCGCTGTCAAAGAAAAAGTTTTGAGCTACCAGAGAAAAATCGATTCTTACAAGGTACGTCTAGAGCATTATAAAATTTACTGATGTATATGTGTTGTTTTCAAGACAAAAGCGATGGAAGTTGATGAAGTAGTGAGGGCTCCGATAGACGGTCTTGTTGAATCTTATTCGTTGCAAAAATGTTCGGGTTCAGAAGCCGACGAGATTAAGAATAGCGTGAAAGAGTTATTCAAGTAAGTTGCTTTCAGAATTCAATGATCCATAGCAAATTCTACGCCGAAACTCTATCACGCTTCTTACTGAAGTTTGAATCGCAAATAACGTATTTTTCAACCATATGTGTAGGTTCATATCTATAAGCTTTGCTAAGCTGGCGGTGGTATATTGTATATTTATTTACTTGTGCTTATAAAAAATTATAAAGTAGTACAGTAGTAATATGGTCGAATTCCTTCTTGGAATTTCTCTTCACTTCCGCTATCTATATATAAACGAATTTCTGTTTATTTTTCAAATTTCGCATGTACTTAGCTTGCCAAAATTTGAGAGTTAAAAAACCTTGGAGTATATCGTTGACATATAAAGGATATCCGTCGACGACAGCCCCGTTTCGTGCATTTACACCACCGCGGGCGTGCTTTTTTGAAGCCGTTCCAGCTTTACAGTACGCTGCAGCTCGCGGGGTATTCGCGGCTCTCAGCATGCCCGTCCTTTAACCTCTTTTTGTTTCTTGAGGATTTCACATCGTTTTTTTCTCCCTAATTTTCATTTTAGGCAGTTACACACTTTTATACACGCAAGACCATTGCTTGCTGTGGAAGAAATCGGAAGGAATGAAGAGTTTTCTTTCAAGTTGCAATGGTGTATATCGTGGCTATGATTGGGAGTGCAAAGTTTTCTTCGTGTTTCATAATAATTTGCAATTTTTTTTTCAAGAGAGACTGCTGAAGTGGGTGTTTTCAGTGGTCTCATTTGAGGAGAAGGCATGCTAGCCATCACTACTCACTCACTACTCACGAAGAAAGCACTCACCCCTTTCTAATTATGCGGACGATAGTTTACGATTCTGAAAATGTTTGTATGATATGTAAAAAGGAGAATGAGTTCAATAATGCCAAAACTTTTTTCCTGCTCTTTCAGTACCCAGCAAAGCAGAATTTTTAGGATATTCGACCGAGAGAACTTCAAAAAAGAAGAGGAGAACGACTGACTGATGAGCAGCTGCCTGAAATGAAGATTAAAAAGGAAAAAAAAGATGAGAGATGCAGAAGAGGTTAAAGGACAGGGGCGCTGCGAGCTGCGAACCTGCGCGCTGTAGCATACTGTAAGGCTGGAAAGACTTCAAAAAGGCAGCCCGCGGTGGTGTAAATGCACGAAACGGGGCAGTCGTCAACGAGTATCCTTTACATTTGATGGCCTATTTCTTTCCTGAGAAAGGCCGCGGTTATCTGCGGTTTTTATAAGAAGTTATGCGGAAGCGATAAACATTCTGCGTAATCTAGTACGGTATAAATGAGCTAATCACAATCCAGTTATTTAGAAGCCTACAATTCTTCCGGAACGAGATAAACACTATCAAAAGTTTGCTGAACAGTACAGTGATTCTCCAAGATAATATGCTCGATGAAAGATTGAATAAAATCAGTTCGCGGCTTTTTGAACTTTGTGTCGAGACACCAGTTAGACAAGGATTTGACGATCTTTTGGTGAATATGAGATTCTTTTATGTACTCCGAAAATCTGTAAGCAAATTTTAAGAAAAATTTCTCCACTGAATTACTGCCATGTCGATCAGTTTATAATGCTTATCAAAATCTCGGTTCGATGTTTTGTGAAGATATAGCGAAGCCAGCTCATGGAGTATGGGCAGCAACGGGTAAACTTTTTTTTTGCTTGATTGTAGGTAGGATTACCGTAATCCTACGAATTACAGGACTCTGCGGTCTCTCAATACTCGCCACAGCTATTGTCATTCTTGTGGGCAATCGTTTGGATAGTCGTTGAAACTCTAACTGCAATTTGGCACAGTTCTCCTAAGACTCATGATGTTTTCTATTATCCTAAAAAGTCTGCATGATCGAAACTCCGCAAGCCTCGTTTGCATCATTTTACTTGCAAAGTAGTATCAGTTAATTTCATTCGGCATTCCTTTTCTCGATAGCTTTACACAAAGCATATTCGGTGCCTTTCTGTTCTTACATAATAAGAATATCAGTATGATATGGTTGTGTAGAAGTTCTTGCTTGGCTCGACTGCCTCATGGAACCGGAATATATTTATGATGAGAAAATTTATGTAGAGATGCATATTATGAGTGATTTAATTAAATCATGTTTTTGGTCTCAGATTTCATTGTTTATTCGGAACGCGTTAATGGATTAAATAAATTGATTTTAACCTTATTGCTGCTTTTCAATTGTTTAGGTTGGCTAAAAAGTAAATTCGGTCGTTTTCAACGGTTTGTAGAAATTTTGGAAATTATTTTATGTAGGAATGTTTGTTACCATTAGAAAGAGCAAATCAGGGAGAATCGGATGGTTAACCCTGCCTGAGCGCCAATCATTATTTTGATGACGAAATTGTCCAGGAAATGGAAATAGTCAGATTTTTTCATCGAATTTTCGGAAAACCATGTCCCGAAAAATGAGCTGAAGTTGGGTGCAAAATGCACAGCTAGCATCCACACCACAAATTTTGAAATTTCCAACAATTTGCATGGCCATAGCTGGTCAAACTCGAGCGATTCGGACTGCCCAAAAACTGACTCCCATGCGCAAATGCTTGGAAATTCTTACATTTTTGGCTGCAGAAATTCAACAACAGGTCACAACCTCCATTGTGGTTCGCCATGTAGCCAAAAGTTGTACACACCTCACCACCAAATTAGTCGTCTGCGCGCTCAGTATGGGCTGAGAACAATAATTAGAAAATCAAAAAAGCGAATTTTCAGAAGGCTAGCCATATAAGGACATAATTGCTAATTATTGATAACCAAAAACTGCGACTATTTGAAACATAATAGTAGAGGGTTGAAGCTACCTCCTGGCAAAAAAAATCTCTGCTAAATATCTGCTATTCGAATTGTTACAGACTTTCGACGAAGCATGTCAAATCGAACTTATTTATTAGCCAACCTAATAGAATACCAAACACACTAGCCATACAAAGAGGTTTTGCGGCTGAATACATAGCCTGCTAAGGCTATATGTTACACTAGCTGGCTTACCCGGCTCCGCCGTATCCGGACCAAACTTGGCACACATACACTTCGGGCCCCGGCGCGTGTCACAGTCCACTTTTCGTTATCGATCGGTGTCGATTTTACCGATTTTTATCGATTTTTTCGCAGAGTTCACCTACAGGGCTAGGAGTTGGCACAGGGGGGGGGAAGTGAGCATGGGGATTCCGAATACAATATTAGTTTTCAGAATTATCGGTTACTTTTATTGATTTTATCGATTTTTTGTAAATTTTGACCTGCGGGGCTGGGAGTTTGCACAGGGGGGTAATCGAGCATGCAGATTACGAATACAATATTAGTTTTTGGAATTATCCATTACTTCTATCGATTTTATCGATTTTGCAAAATTTGAGCTAGGGGGCTGGAATTTGGCACAGGGGGTAATCGAGCATGCTGATCACCCCCTTGGGGATGATCAGCATGCTCGATTACCCCCCTGTGCCAACTCCCAGCCCCGTAGGTGAACTCAGCAAAAAAATCGATAAAAATCGATAAAATCGATATGGATCGATGACGAAAAGTAGCCTATGACACCCGCCGGGGCCCGTAGTGTATGTGTGCCAAGTTTGGTCCGGATCGGTTCAGAAATGGAATTTTCTATTCGGAACATACGTACATACATACATACATACATACATACAGACAGACATACAAACAGACATTCAGCTTTATATATAAGATTACTAACATGGAAGCATTTGGTATCTGGTAAAAGCATACAAGTCATACAAGCATGTCCAAGAATAGGGTAAAAAATCTCTTCTATCGTCCCTTGAGAGTCAGCGTCTTGTTTATCCATCCATCTCATCTTGGGTCTACTCTCTCACCTGCCATTATCCAAGGCATTTTCTCAATTTGGCTCCCATTCCTCTCGACATGTGCTCCTGCGAACGCAACTTCTTTTCTTGTATTGTGCGCAACTGAAGCGACTGTAGGGGCCTGTAGGATCGCGAGAGTCGGATACGACTCTACGGATACCCCTATCCATGCATACGGCCCTTGCGCCGCGCACGTCCGAATCACTAAGGCAGGTGCCAGACTTATCCGCTTCAGCCGGTTCGTTCGGTTCATAGGTCAAAGCACTCACTGTCCAACAGCAAAAGTTGTGAACCGAATGAACCTGTTCAACAGGATAAGTCTGGCACCTATTGAGTCGTCGGACGCACATCTGACGTGCGCGGCGCAATGGCCGTACGCACGTCCGACTCTCGCGATCCTGCAGGCCCCTATATAAGCTCTTTCAGTGTCAGAGCAATGTGGTTTTCTAGTGAGGCAGCTGAGGTCCATTGTAGCATTTTTGTTTCCACGACCTTAAGCTTGCTGTTCCGCTACTGGATGTCTTGTACAGTTGTGCTTGAAGACTGTTATGGTTCCTTCAGTATTAGACGGATGTCTTCATAATGGCTTCCTTGTTTTCACGTCATAAGCTTGCGATCTTCGCTTCGCGGTGCTGGAACCTTGTATGTCGTGACCACGGACACTTGAGAAGATTAGTCGGTAAAAACAGTGCCTGGCAGACCGAAATTTGCGTTGAAACTGCGCGTAGACAGGTGGCAAAGCACGTATCGCTTACAATCCGAACAAAATGATGCGAGCCTCGAGTACCGCAGTCTCGGCATTGCAAGGGCATTATATTTACCGACAGGTCACTAGCTTCTTTTTTTGCGCAGAAATCCCGCTAAGGTCTTTTACTTTTTCTATGCTTTGCTCCTCCTGCCTGCCTCCGCTTAAGATGTGATTGTCTAAGTGCTGTATGACGTTGTCTTCTTTAACTCTTCACCATCGACGCTTAAAAGCAGCTGCTCGGCAGAATAATAGCTGTGGGAGGTTCATCGTTTTCGGTCCCCTTAGATGAGCTAAGTCCAAGACTGTGCTTTGCAGCTTCAAAAGATATCAATAACCCGCTTTTACAGACGTGAAGTGTGCCGTTTGGGCTGATCGCGAAAGTGGCTGCTGGAGCCAATATCCAATTGCCGCCGAGATGGGTACGGTGTCTCTCTACTCATGAATCAATCGCGCTCTAGAGAGTAGACCACGCTGTCCACCCAAATGGCAATTTTCACGACAGGAAAGCGGGTTATTGGTATCTTTTAAAGCTGCAAAGCACAATTTGGACTTATCCAGAGGAACCGAGAATGATGAATATCCCAAAGTTTTCATTCTGCCGAATCGCTGCCTTTAACCTCGATTCTGTTTCCCAACTTCCATGTATTAGGTTGCTACATAAGTCGTGTCGCACTCTGACTACTTAGGCGATAGCTCCTACACTTTATTTTGTCAACAGGTTTGAGGTACCACTCGATAGAGCAAAGCAAGCTCTACAAGATGGCATGTGCAAGTTCGTACTAGCTTCGCTCAACCGCAATTTAGCAACATTTTATTACACTTGTAGAAGATATAGCTCGCTAAGTTTTTACTACGCGGGTTCTAATTGGACTGTTGGTGCTACCTCAAAGGTAACCAAAACTTTATCAATGAAAAGAATACAGGCGTTGGTTAGGCACACAATTGAAAGTGAAGTCCTACCGGAACTTGTCTCGCGAGTGCTTCTGAGAGGAACTTGTGGAGCTAAACTACCCTCAACTTGTGAAGGAATTTGTAGAAGATGGCTTGACCTTACTCATCCATCAGTATTTATACCCTCTAGTTCATTATTGACTGTATATGCCATCATTGTCGACTGATATGTTAATAAGCTCGGCCGGGTAAGGTTGTGTAGTCAGGGCAAGATGGACTGATGGGGAGTTCTCAATGACTGTATAAGTCATAGAGAACTCCCACTTGTCTGGCCGACTTCTTCCATTGCGGAGTAATGACCATACATAAAGGGTTCATTTACATTATAACACAAACAACAAAACAATCGATACAATTACGAAAGGATCTATCACACTCTACTTCGACTTCAAGGTCGCTTTAGCGACATTGTCCATCTTCGGGTTGTAGCATTGGTCCTGAAGAGCTGATAGCTGATAAGACTCTATAAGCGAAGATGTTGTTATGTGATTATGACGATTTCGACCTTAACGTTGGAAAAGGGAAAAAAATCTACATGAAACTTGAACCCTGGTAAATTAATCAAACACCTTTCTTTCAGTTATTAGCGATGTTACAAGTGAAAGAGATTAAGCTCATGAGAGAACGTTCAAATTTCGCAGAACGTTACAAGAGAGAAATTACCGCAAACAGAATGTAGTGGCCTCTATAACACTGGTCCTCTTAATACTCCATAATTTCTATCAGAGTGATCATGCTGCAAAGACGCAAAAATTGCCCTGACCTTGATTGTGGAGAAGTCGGGCACACGAAATTCATGGCAGGATTTTGGAAACATACGGAAATTGACTTCTTCACCCGTATAATAAGCGAGAGCCTGGAACATTTACCCACTGAGTTTTCCGGACACTTTAACGAGCTGTATACAAGTTTCGGTGAGTGGAACAGGATCATTTGTTTTCACAAGAGTGCACTCTTAGCCGATAAGTCATCTGGAATGCGATGGAAAGTTGTGTAAAAACTGACTGCCCATGCCGTGCCTTGCATACCAGCCTGGCGAGCGGATGTCGGAGCGGATGAACTATGGACGGCCACTTTTGTGCGTGCTAGGGATGAAATCTTCTTCGATGAAAGCGATGGCAGCAAGAAACAAGAGGATTATTAGAAACAGCCCGATCAGGCCTTGGCGACCAAGACACAACAACTGCAAACACAAAGGAAAAGAAACATTAGCCACCGTTTAATGGCACAACACCACGGAAATAACCATGAGATCTGGCCTGTGGCAGGCGACGCATCCTGCCATTGAAATGATGGCGCGCTTTAGATCTACTCTCCGTTTCGGTAGCCACTTGCCCGACAAAAAGATTTCCGTTGACCTTTGGACGTTTATGACATTGCAGAGTATGCTCTGGTTAAACGTGACTTCAGGAGCCTAGAAATACGTCTAAAAGAGTTGGGCGCTCACTATCGCCTGTGACAAGCTCCTAGCGCTTCAATTTCTTTTCGCTTTGGTGTTCAAGAAGCGCGCAGTTATTCATGTAGTTTGTACCTGGATAGATGCGACATTTAGCGCTAATTCAGATTCTTCTCTTATATTTGTGGAGCGAGATTCGACGGTGATGAACCTTCACTGCGCAGTGTTAGGCTCTGGCACACCTCAAT